GACCTTGATGCACGTCCTTTTTTTTCCGAATCAAGTTCGAAATGGCCGACTGGCGGCCATTTTGTTTTAATAAATTCAGTTCTCGATTCGTATCCAAGACATGTCTGGATTGATCAAGTTCAAACTTCACACACACATGGTACATCATGTCACAAATAGATATGTGCATTTGTTTCATGATCCGCTTAACAATAGCTGAATGATGGCCATTTTAAGGCTGAAAATGCATCAAAATCACGTATTTTCACAATTCCGGAACCTGATCTCAGTCATGCATGGATGGATTTTGTTCAGATTTAGAACAATGTGTTGTACATATGCAGGTGCATTTCGGTCATGATCTGCTTTGAATGTATATGTCACTCAAATATGAACGGAACGGGGACGTGTCATTGACAATGACTTGTTTTTCTTGACTTCTAAAAAATCACGATGCCAATTTATCACTACATGTATATAGGTACCTTGGGTGAACAGATACATGCATTTCAGGATGATAAAGCATTCAATTCTAATAAATAAACACATGCAACAGCTTCAATACTTTCTCCCACAATTCACTGTGATATTTAATTGTTATTGCCTTTTCTAATGAATTCCACATGAATTTGTGTGTTAAGTGGCATTCTTATTCATTTTGAGAAGTTAGAATTCACCTGTTGTGTAGTGCACGTTCTAGATTTTTAGTAATTTTTGACTCCCATGTGCGAAGCACAAAATGGGAGTCTTTGCAGTTAGTGTGTCTGTATGTGTGTGTGTATGTGTGTATGTGTGTGTGTGTGTATGTGTGTGTGTGTGTATGTGTGTCCGACTGTTCCACTGCTATCTCAAGAACCATACATCGGTTTTTGATGAAACTTGGTGCATAGATGCTCTGGGCCAATGCGCAGATGTGATTAGGTTTTGGTAAAAATCCATGCTCATTAATTACCTAATTTGCATGATAATTAACTAATTTTTAGCTGTTCTATGACTGTTCCACTGATATCTAAAGAACCACTCATTGGATTTTGATGAAACTTGGTACATAGATGCTCTGAACATATGCGCAGATTGGATTAATTTTTGGTAAAAATCTGTGCATATTAATTACCTAATTTGCATGATAATTAGCTATTTTTTAGTGGTTCCATGAC